CTACCCAAACCGCCCAGTCGGAAAAAATTCTCTAAATATGGTACCTTTTCCCCAGACGAAATCCTCTCGTAATGGAAACACATACAGATCGCCCTAAATCTGCCGAAAAAACTTCTTTAAATATGGGGGCTTTTATTAATCAAGTGCTCGGATTATGGCCGAAGGATTTCAGACTGTGCTGTTCGCAACTAGCACTGGGAGCGATTCGGCATGTTGTGATGTCCTTATGAACCTGTGCATGCATTTCATGAAGGACTTGCTCCTTCACATGCTTGTTGAGAATTTCTCATCAGACGCATTCAAAACCCTGTTGTTGCGCATCCGGGTCACCCTGGCCTGCCGAAGCTCACGCAAGCCACGCCTTGTCGGATTCATCGGGGCCAGGATGATTCCGACCTGCAGACGGCAGGCCTGCACCGACTGGTGCCCAATTCTTCCTGTCGTTTCAGTGTGTTTCATTGCCTACTTCTCGAGGTGCCAAGCTGGTGCACAGGGCAACATACATCGCAGAGACCTTCAAGGCCGACATGAACCAGGCGCGCGGCTGATGTCTCTCCGAGGCTTCTGGTGCACGAGCTCCTGCAGCTTGCAGTGGCTGAGCGGTAGCAGGTTCAGACTGACGACGAGGAGAGTGCCGAAAGCGAGGCTATCAGGGAGGTTGGTGAGTTGCTGCCGGGCCTGGTCACGTTTCAGGGCGGGTCTCACCCACAAGGTTCCAAAACGCAACATTCAAGATAGGAGCGTTCTGAATCGACCCTGCGACGACAATCCCACATCCACAGAAATGCTTTTTCTAGCAGGGCGCTGGCTACCGCTGGAAAGTGCGGCGAATTCTGGTGGCTTGGGCTGGGTTATGCATAGGTCTGTGTGTTCGTGTGTCACTTCACCACCTATCCGGTCATGAGACGCAGTGCTGCCATCAGTGCTATGAGTACCTGTCGTGATTTTGTGATTGCTACCATAGGCACATCCGGCATTTGACATTACCATCGGCGGCTTTATCGTCCTGAATGCCATCATGCTTGGCTCTGCGCTCGGAGTGTGCCCTTCACGTGGCCCAGGGTTTGAATGGGTCTAAGTGGTGTGGGAACGGCCAACCTTGAGTCGAAGCCAGGGGTAGCCATAGCAAGAAGCATTGCTAAACAGTAGCTGAAATAGTATTTCTGATACAAGCGGGTTCTGAGAAGAATGTTGAAAGTATATGTTGTTGCCGTAATGACATGAATTGATAGTCGGAAAGCCATGGCCTCGTTTTGAACGGTCCGTGGCAATGATAGCAATGAGCTAACTCCACCCCCTAAACCCCTAAACCCCTACACCGTAAGCTTAACCACGCTGAATTGTATCATAGTCTGACTAGTCTTCAGAAGATTGTTTCTGCTGCTGCGGCTCCTGCGACTACTTTGGTCCTGCTGCTCCTGACACCCCCTTGGTTTCCCCCCCCTCTTTCGCCTCCCCGACCGCTGTTGTTTCTGGTGCTGCTAGTTACACGATCCACAGTAGGTTGGTTAGTAGCAGTAGCTTTAGTAGTAGTCGTCGGCGTCGTATGTTTTAGCAGAGAAGCTGCCGCTTACCTTCAGTGCCTGACCGTAGAAAGCAGCTGGAAGGCTGGAAGGCCAGGGACTTCGGACCGGACAGCTCAGCAAAGGTACAGACCTGCGCAAGGTAGGGGATACACAGAGAGAGTGGCATCAAGGCTACCCTCGTACACTTGCTTTGCTGAACCACGTGGCTGTAGTAAAGGCAACAGCAACAACATCAGCACTAACAGCAGCGAGAATTAGATTCATGGACTACGCGAAATAGCTGGTGCAGGAACGTATATCAACTCCTTGTCACTGATGGTCATCATGAGCTCAGCAGTGTAAGAATAATTAATCATGGTAGGGCGATGATACAGGTGAAGATAAATATCATTGGCATGAGAAGCGTCGGCCATACTGATCATGGTGAACCTGCTGCCAATGACTGCAGGCATTCAAAGCGATTGGAGTGTTCAGAACATCACCTCGCAGGTTGGACAGCCAAAGGGAGGGCAATATCATGCAATGCCTGAAGCCCTGAGTCGTATGTAGTGTTTCACACTTTCAATCGCATCAGTGCACTTCCAAGTTTTTCCAGCTGGCTTTCTCCCATGATCCCACGCTGAGCAGCAATCAGGTTTTGCATCAGTGCTTGTAGGCATAAACAGGAAGGCCACGGTGCTTGAATTTGTACTGTAAACGTCGCTTGACTCCAAACCGAACACGTGGTGTCCCTGTCAGGTTCAAACAGCCTGGACTGCTCAGAACATCACCGGGCAGGTTGGGTTCGGCACGAGCGTGCTTTCACGGAGCGATGCGCCATATTTGTCATTCACGAAGACGACATTCAATTTCAACGTTGGCAAATTCATGACGAGTGAATGTTGTGGACAAGAAGCTGGAGGGGTTGAGAAGAATACAGGTAGAACGTCAGATTTCTGAATGTAGTATCATGTAGTACGGCTCATACCGACTTCTCCATGCAGTCTTAGTCTCGTAGATTCTTTCCAGAGTTGTTTGCTGTGTTGCTTCTGCCAGGTTCCGGATGGTTGGAGCCTTGAGAGCATCAATGCAGAGGCCCGGCCAAGGTTTGTTGGGCAAGGGGTTCATGACCATCGAAGGTGCACCCACAAGGCCTGTGCATTGTGCTGCAAAGGCAAAGTTTTGGAGTTGCAGGAATCCCATGACCCTTGTCTCTGTCAGCTTCCAGCAAGAAGTGGTGACTAGATCAACCTTGAGCCTTGAGCGTGCTGCCACGCTTCCTGCTACTTGCACATTGAGCCGGCTTGATAGCACCAAACCCATGCCAACTCCGCATCGTGCGTTGGCTCTTGGCAGGAGCCGGAAGCGTTTTCCGTCATTGAGAAGATCTTTGCGCCTTGTCACGACTTTTTGCTCCCCGTGTATTCGTTCATGGACGTGATGTCAGTTCAGCAGCTCATGTGCAATCAAGGCTGTGATTTTTGCAAGCGAGCTCGCCCTTCGACTCTTTGGGAAAGGCTCCTGCTCCTGCTCGGTAGGGATTGCGCGTTGGTGCAAGCATAGCATGCATCGCTGCAGGTTTCGTTGATTTCTACTGTGGGCCAGAGTGGAAGAGCCTCGTCTCAAGATTGGCATTGGCCGCAAATCTCTAGCCGTTATGCCTTTAAGTTCTACCAGTCGTAACAGGAGTCGTAGTGGCAGACGCTCGTCAAGAAGTGGTTGTCGTTCGGTGGCTGCTTTTGTTTAGATTTTCGGATTTGTGCTGGGGCCTTCTTTTGCAACTCTTAGCCACCTCTGGAAAACAAAGATTCCTAAACCAAAAACTCTAAATCGACAGCGTGTTTTAAGCACGTCATTCCTGAACCGAAGAAATTTCGATTGCGGAAATCTGGAGGCAGCTGTCGGGTCTCAGACCCAAGACCTCCTAAAATACCCTTTCGAAAGCCCTATGAGTTCTAGTACCTCAACCCGAAACCCTTGACCGTGTTAGTACCCTAAATAGTCAATCTCGCACAGCACCCTAAAGCCCTAAATCCTCATACACCCCAAAACCCTAAACCCTTAACAGCACTCTGAACCCTAACACTGCCTCACAAGCAGAGGTGGGCCCTCTTCGACTCGACCATTGTCGGGTACGTCTGGCTTGAGTTCGGGATGCAGCATAGTATAGTAGTAGTTTTTGAATATAGGATTACTGGATTGGTAGAGCCATAGTTTAGTAGGAGTATAGCAACATGACGGTATGTCATAGCCATAGCCATAATCATAGTCATAGTCATAGTCATAGTTCGGTACCAACCTGACAAGTTGCAATTCTCGGCCTGCCGTTTCGAGGTTGGTTGTGCACCTTTTTTGAAGACAAAACTACTACTGGTCATAGTGTCCAGTGGTTCTGCAAAAGCTAATATGGTGCCAGCGAGTGCTAGTATTTGTGTCAGCTCAAGCCATTACTCTTTCATGTAGTGCAATATTTCCGTCGCTGTGACTTGCTTCGGTCTTTCAACGCCGAGTGCCCGGCAGGCTTCAGATGATCGAAGAGATCTCCACCCTGGCAGCCGCCCCCCTAGACTGCCGAACGCACCGCTGCAATAAGGAGGAGGACAGCTGTAGCAGCCGTAATGGTGGTCGCTCTGGTAAGCTGCAAATCCCTTCTGAGGGCGCGACGGCCCAATGGGGGTCTTCGGGGCCCTTCGGGTGTTGGCTGCCTTTTCAGAACATAATGTTTAGCAGCTTCTTATTGACGTCGAGGGCTGCGCTGCCTAGCCGAAGAACGCAGCAAGAAGAGGGACGCCGACCCCCAAGGTGGGCTCACAAGCGGCTCAGGGCGGGAACTTGGGCTTCATGCGCGTGATGCGGATTCTCCGGTGCCTCGGCCTTCGGGGATAGACGTGAGTTGTGGAGCACTTGCAGGGAACACAGCTTGTCGGCAAACGTAGGAGATCCGAACTTCTTTTTTCGGCGCAGTTCTGCAGGGTTTTTAAAGGACACCGAAATGTGCAGGGATCTGAGAGTGTGATTTTCCATTGCATGCGGAGGGTTCTCGCTAGAAGACGTGCTATCTGGAGCTGAGATCCTCGGTGAACGGTTGAGACCTTGATTGCTTCGATTCGAGATGTGGATGAAATGACTGATGTTTCGAGGTCTTGGTCTTTGTGCAGAGGGCTGACAATTTGAGAATAGCTTGTGGTCTATGAGCGAAGGCTGCAGGCTAAGCGGCTAGGTCCTAGGTGCAGTCTCCGTTTCTGGTGATGCCACCTTGACAGCTCCAAGTCCGATCCCAGCGATGCAGGTTGCTGAGAATTATGCGGCTCGTACGTCTCCTGCAGTTTGTCAGTGAGCTTCGCACAATGGTGGGCTCCTGCATGTTTGACTTCGTGGAGAAGCCACCGAGCTTGCCTAGTGAGTACACATTGGGGACAGGTCATGTCCATCGTGGGCTCCATGAAGTCTCTGGTTTGGACGATTTTACTCATGCTCCTCATCAAGTACATCATCGGAGCCCCTTGGCGTCCTTCAACCGCCTGGGGTCTGTGTTACATGCACTAGATGCTTTGATGGAGGTGTTACACGGTCAATGCTTCCCTTGGTGTGGGTTCTAGGTGACATCATGCTGGCTCAGGTTTGTCTCTGCCAGCTGATTGCAGACCGGGGCCAAAGCCTCAGAAGTGCCACTTCATTCCGCGAGTCATGTTGTGTTCCGGTTTCGCCGCAGCATTCCCAAGTACTACTAGAGGGGGTAAATCTAGCAGTGAATCTTGTTCCCTTAGCCTCGTAAAAACCCGAATCAAATTTCTGCACCTCTGAAGCAGGTTAATGGGTACTTGTGCTGTAGTGGGCGATAAGTAAGGTGGCCCTTGTGATGTGCACTCATCGAAAACCTAAGGTGCTTGTTCCAAAACCTCCAGACCAAAACTCCTAAGACTGTAACGCTAAGCCCTTAACCCTAACACCTAAACCGTCGGTCTTGCGATACCGAGGCTTGGAAAATCCAGGTGCCATGACACAGGACGGTTGCCAATCTTGGCTTGGGGGTAAACCCAAAACCCTAAAGTCTAAACCCTGAACCTAAGCTTCGGATACTGAAAACATGGAGGTCTGAACGATTAGTGCGGCTACGGTTTGATGATATAAATTCTGCATTACCCAGAATAAGGAGTATACCATAATTCCCATAGTTTAGGGTCCTTAAAGTAATGAGGGATTTATATCATCGACAGTATCTCCTTATAGTCTTATATACTTGGACCCCAAACCTTTTCATTTCCCCACAATCCTCACGACCTACAGTACTCATTACCTGAACCCCAACTAACCTAACTGTTTAGGGGTCCTTCTGGAGGTTCGGGGATTTCAGGGTTGAAAGTTTAGGGCGCAGGGTTTAGGTATTGGAGTTTGAACTTTTAAGGCTTGGGGCTGAGGGTTTGGGATCTCGGGTTTGAAAGGTTATGGGTTGAGGGGTTTAGTGCTGAGCGATGTTTCTTGCGACCCATGAGGACAGGTTTTTGAACGGGGAAGTCACAAGGATTGCTGCGTAGAGCACTTTTCACACTTTCGTGGAAAATCCGTCTAGTCACCCAAAGCTTACGGTGAACTCCAGAATGTTTGAAACATGAGATAGGATGATTGGTGCAAGGTGTCCCTATACTTTACCTAGGTGGAGCCGAAGTTTGGCACCTTACAAGCCCAAAACCCATGAGCCCTAGGCCCTGGATCTAAGTCTAAAGCCAAGTATATTATTGGGCTGTGCAGGATCTGGTGGAGTTTTATGGAAGTCTGCCGCGAGCGGTGCTGTCCTTGTACCAGGCTCTGAGCTCCTCCTGGTGCATTTCCGGCTCTCAACGGCGTTTGTGAACGAAGATGACGCCTATTAGCTCACAGTCATAGTGTCGTAGTCGCAGAAGTAGTAGCAAAATTCGGCAACGGGGTGATACTTGACCATACCAGTATCGAAATCATTGGAGGGAAACAGTTGCTAGTCGCAGAAAGAAGTTTTCAGAACAGTCGCAATAGCGGTAATAGTTGAAGTGATTACAATAATGACTGGTAGCAACAGCAACCCGAAGTAAACATCCACGAGGGTGATTACTGGCAATAGAAATGAATGCCGACAAGAACAATACCACGTGTCAAAACTTCTCACACAGCAGTAATAGCAGTAGCATCATCAACAAGGCTGAGCTTGGGCCGCTGGCATCGCCGCCGTCAGCACCACTACTTCCACGTGGATAATCCGGGTCCAACCGTGGTCATATCGCCGTAGTGATGCGAATGACCGTTGATGCGACGATACTTGCGATGATGATGGTTGCGATGTAAATGAAAATTATGGCTATGCTCCTCGCTATGCTCGCCAGCACCAGCAGCATCTGCCTCCAACTCATTAATTATCCTTGACATCCTCGAGTTCTCTTTTTTCTTGTCATCCCTCCTTTTATCAAGACGAAGCCGAAAGGCCATGACTGGTGGAGTGGATTGGAACGACCTTAGCAAGCCTCTGGAAGAAAGCACCTCGGATTGATCTTCTCGTGTTGGGGTTCAGGCTTGGACGCGGAGCTTTGTGGATGCACGTACGGGGGGATTACGGTTCTTGAAACATTAACGGAGCAGCGAGCAGTCACGGCCAAATCCTTGAATTGCCCAAGCAGAGAAGACTTTCTGTTTCAAATTCGACTGCACCCGCCATGAAGCCCAATTTCAGAATTCCGTGCTGCAACTGGGAGTGTCAGTCCGTCCAAACTTACATAAGGTATCTCCCCTTTGATGACAGTTGCTGGGAGCTCAGCTGGGCTTACCACGATGCAAGGTGAAAGCAGGTTGCGGTTGGAGAGGCGTATTGGGTGTACTTCAGTTGTCTCGCGATCGGGGGTGTTGTTTTGGCTTTACACCATGTTTGGGTGTGAAGGCTTGAGCGTTTAGATCTGCGGTCTGCGTGTAGCGAGTTCAGAGAATCTCGCTTGTGAGAGTTCGGCTTTCTGTCGCATTGCGAAGAAAGGGTGTTCCATGCATGGTGTGCATGGGCAGCAGTTTTCACATTGGTCCTTCATTTGTCGGAGGCTTGTGCACTAGCTCGGGATCTCGGCTATCTCGCAGCATGGTTACTTGGTGCTCCATACTATGGCGATGCAATGCTAAGCGTATCGATGATGTTCGTGACTGTGGTGAGGATGTGGTTCAAATTTCAGGATGATGATGCCGAGAAGGGATGACGGGACGGAAGGAATATTATGAGGATGTAGCGGAGGAGGAAGCAGGATGACGTCAATCTTCATGATGATTGTTGCTACGACGGATTTGACAGTTGAAAGGTTCATAAACAGCTTATCATCAAGCCAAGTTCACTTATACATCTAGCTCTCAGCCCCACCCGGGAGTCCTAAGCCGAAGCCGTAACCCCTAAACCATGAAACCGACATCCCAAGCCCTCAACTCTGCACCCTAAACCCTATGCCTCAAGCCCCTCTCCCTGCAATGTGGACCCAGGGCTTCGCCCTGTACGTCGCTTTTGCGGACCGGGCCCGAGAGTGACACAGCAACCACTTCCCTGCCTTTCCTTTCAAAGCAAAGACGACGAATTCAAGCATACGCCAGCTTTCATTCCAAGGAGCCCATGTCAAGATTTTTCGTGCAACCCCAACCCTTAACCCCAAAGCCCTAAACCCAAAGCTCTAAAAGCCTGACAAGACTCTAGGATCCACGCTTCAGGTTTTGGCCATGATGAACGTGGTTACAGGCGTTTTCGTCGAGTCGGCCCTCGGGTCGGCAAGAGAGGCCCGTGCCAGCTGTCAGAGGCAATGGCAAACAAAGCAATAAGAATAATAGCCACAATAATAATAAGCATGATGATGCTACTACCGCTACTACTGCTGCTAC